AGATTTTTCCAGAACCACCCATCCTACCCTTTAAACAAGCACCGAACCTTGCCAACCTCATCACCAGAAGCAAACTTAGTATGGCCCAAAGGACACCGAATGGATCCAGACTATGCTGGGACAATAAATGTAAAACCTGCCAACACATCTCCACCAGTCCCACAATAACCACACCCTACAACAGAATCATCACCATTCCTGTATCATACCTGCACCACCAGAAATGTAATACATCTTATCCAGTGCACTAAATGCCCTGATAGAAAATACATAGGAGAAACCAAACAACAACTGCGTACCAGAATGAACACGCACCAAAAATCTAGCAAAGACAAAAGTATCCAATTACCTGCGAGGGCACACTTCTCACAAGACAATCACTCCCTCTCTGATCTCTCAGTTCTAATCCTCAAAGGGAACTTACAAAACACCTTTCATAGACAAGCCTATGAACTTCACTTCATAAATCTACTGGATACAAAAAAAAAAAAAAAAAAAAAAAAAAAAAAAATCAAGGATTAAACATAGATGTTGGGATTTATGGCACATCATAAACCTGCCTGCGATCAGAAAACCCCAAGTAACCTGAAAGATTATAGCTGGTAAAATGCAATCACCAGTTCAACATTCCCCACCTTCCCACCTACCTGTCTCACACCTATTGTCTCCCATCACCTCTTATACTCATTGCCACACATTTGCATTTTTACAGACCTGCATTTTGGCTTCTATTCCACCCAGGAGACCACACAAAACACGAGCAGACTCTTCCTATGCCTGAAGGGCATTTGTGCCTGAAAGATTGCAAAGAACAATTTTTCCAACTATTTAGTTGGTCTAATAGAAGATACCACCATTTACCCAAAGAACCTTGTCTGACAATGCAGATAGGGCACAGACCAAACACAGAGCTGAGTCCCAACCCAGCTGTTGAGTGGTCATGCAGGAGTCACCTTATCTCATGATCTTTCAGTTTCTTCACCTGTAAAACAGGGATGATACAACAGGAGCAGTGAAACTCAGGCCTGACTGGTGTGGGAGCCACAATCAGTCTTAACCAGAGTCATAACAAGCACCCCAAAATAGCTAATGTGCCCCAATTCAAAAGACAAAAACTAGAGTGCACTAGTTAACTGCTAATAACGTACAGTGCATGTGGTGTGCAAGTCATGATTCCAGGAAAAACACAATATATTTTGTTAAACAAAACTTGGTAACATTTTCTGTGAAGAGGTCTAAATATCGCTAAGAGTCACCACCCTTTACCCATCAAGAGAGGGCTGACAGAGCTGCAGGTCAGGGTTCAGCCTTCTGTATTGTCATACTCAGTTTATCAGGGAAGTCCGAACTCTGATACTGTGTAATAAAGCAGCGCCAAGATTGCTGATAGATTATAAAGGGGCAATAAAGAGGACCCTAATAATATTTTATGCCTTGGTGACAGTAAGGCAACTGGATGATGGAAAGAGCTATCTAAAATGCTAAACAGCATTAACACTGGATTAACAATGGAAAGGAAAAGAACAGGTAGCTTATTTGACATACCTTGGTTCAATTTTTTCTGTAACAGAACTTCTCATCATGCTGTTCTGAACCTGCTGGAACTGCAATTATGAAAACAAAAAGCCATCATAACATTATCCTTTAAACTTTGTGTTAGCCACCTTGCCAGGTCCTACATTGCTGAAGAGCTGCTTAGGAAAGCCCAAGCTTCTGCACTAGTCCTCGAGCAACAGAACTTAGTGCAGGGTTCTAGTCATGACAGCATCCATGGTGTCCAACAGGGAGAGCAAACTACAACATGGCTGTTGGAGAATGGTGCCAGGAGGGAGCCAATGGCACATTATAACTGAGTACACCCTATGATATTGGTTATGTTCATACCAAATCCTGCTCTGCTTTGTAAACAAGAGTTAAAAGCTGCTGCTAGTGCTCTTCATTCTCCAAAGGATCATCTCTGTTTCCTCTACTATCACTTCAGACAGCCACTTTCCTTCCATGCAAAAGCGCCCCCCCCACCCCATTCCCCCAATGTAACCCATCATTATGGTTACAGATTAATACAAGGTTGTCTCCAATGACTCACAAAGCTGAGCACTGCTGCCTTTCCAGCATGCAAAGCTTACTGGTCTGCAAAGTGAGGCATCAAGACCATGGGACCAGGCTTCCTAAGATGTAGTGACTGAGTCCTTATCACTCACTCTACTTGTACACGATTATGGGATGTTAGAGGATCACCAGGAAAGATGCACAGAGCTGGCTTTTGGCTGCAGGCTGTGTTGCCTACACTGCAAGTCATGCTTACCTGCCGGTGATAGTCCCTCTGCTTGATGAACTTGTCCACCACCTTCTCCACTTGCCGGTCACATTCCACTTGTAGGTGTTTGATCAGGGTGTACAGTCTCCCCAACCCATAATAGGTCTCTACGATGGGCTGGTGGGTCTCCACAATGCGAGCTATTCCTGCAGAAAGACACACGGTAAGACTGTTTATTCATAGCAGAAAGACCAGAAAAAGCCTTGTCCCATCTTGACTAAGCCCTGGATTGTAGGATTCCAACAAAAGGCCTAAGCAAGAGTAGTCATCACTTCCCCAAAGCAGCAGCTCAGAATCTCAGATGGGATCCTCAAGGTATTAACCACCCCTTCATTTTGCAATGCTCTCTCCTGCCCTAGTATTATGCCTCCATCCTTTCCCCCTTCACAGAACTTTCAGCCACCCTGTGGAAGCTACAATGCAATCCAAGCAACACAGGATGCAGGTGACCCATGCCATAATCTGCAGGTGGAAAGCTTTTCACACAACAAACTTGCAGCTCCTAAATCATCACTTAAGTCCAACCAGAGATTAAACCGCTTCCAAGTCCAGGTTCAATACCCTCTCACCTATCATACTACAAGTTTACACCCTGGGAATCTCATCCCAAGGCAAACTGCACTCCTATTCTCTCTCCAGAGAGCCACCAGCCAAAGGAAGACCTCTTTGAGGCAAAGACTTAGCCACAAGAAGATACATCTTCATGTTCATTTCCTTCACAACAGCCATCAGCTCCAACACCCTGTAACACATTTCCCCCTGTGCCTGGTACCATTGCCTTGATGCATCCTGTGGGCTTTCAACAGGGTGAAAGCACAGGGGAGGTCCGAGCACAGGAGAGTGACCTGGTAGCAGCACAGTGCAGAATGACAACAGACGTAATGGCTGACCACTGTGGGAAGCTCTATTCCTTCCCCTGTTGGGAATTCCACACCATGCACCCTCCCTTCCTCATTTTCAGAGAGCACAAGCTGCTCTGCTCCTCTCCATCTCTCCAAAGAGTCATGGAGGGGAAAGAGAGCAGCTGTTTGGCCTTATGGGCAGGGATTTGTTCACATGGCCAGACGAAGCTGGGGACCTATAGTCCTGGAGGCTTCAGGGACTAACCAATTTATCTGAAGAGAGTAAAGAGCAGGAAGGGAAAGGGGAAGTTTCAAGTCCCTTCTCCTAAGATCCATCAACTGCAGAGAATCATCTAAGGCAGAACTTATGTCTCTCACAGTGATGCTCTGGTTCAGTCCTTTAAGCTGAGCAAGATTGCATGAGAAGCCATGCCCATAAGGAAAGGAAGCCAGCTGGTCCTTTACAGTCCATCTCCAGCCAGCCAAAGGTAAGTCCTAATGCTCTCCTGGACAGAAACAAAGCAACGAAATCACTGCTTCAGATTCAATTCTAGCAGTAAAAAAGGGAAAAAAGGCTGTTCTCTTCTCTTGCCACCACAAATAAAAGCATTCAAGTCATCTGGCTAACTTTGAACAACAGGAAAAAAGGGATGGACGTGACCTCAGGTAGTCCCCTAGTCCAATCCCATTCTCATCACTGTCTAAACCAAGTGTTTGTTTAACATGCACTTTAAAACTTCCAAAGATGGAGATTGCACAACCTATCTAGGTCCCTCCTCATCTTCAGCAAAAATTATTTCCAGCCTACCAACCAGTTGAGATATTTGCCAGGTACGGAAGGAATTACCTTCGAAGAGAAGTGTCAGTGTGTCTGCAAAGATAACTGCAGCCCGACGGTCACTCATGTCTGTTCCCATCACCAATAACAGGTTCTCCTCTGCTTTGTTGGCAACCTAAACCATGGTGGAAGCAGTCGATTGGTATTGTTCTGGCACAGCTCCACCCTTACCAAGAGGACAGCTGTCCTCCTGCCCTATGCAACCCTTCCCTTTTACCTATTTTCCCTCTGTGCACAACTACTGAGGAAAGCGACACTGAGTTTCCAAAGCAGATGTCAGACAGCAGACAGAACAGTTTAAATCTTAAACAAAGTCCAGTGCATTCTGCTGTGCTACACAAATGCGATGTACTTCTATAGGACCAGCTGCTGGAGCTGGTCCATCTCATTAGTGAACAAAGCAACAGGAAACCTAGCAAATACCCCCCTACCATATGTGAGGTCTCTTATAGCCCAAGCAACACTAGAAAAAGGAATTTTTTCACAGTGTGTCTCTGTTCAGCTGCTGGGAACCCAGAATTTCAGGCAAATGTAGACAGACCACATTGCCCAGGGCCTGAGGACAAGATGCAGAGTGCTTGTGAAAGGGATCAGTGTCCAACTGAAGGAAGGACAAGTCAGAGATTGGATAGTAGGGAATGTAATCAAATGCCAAAAGCCTATACCTTGTAGCACAGGCAGAAAAAAGTTGGACAGAACCGTGCTTGTTTCAGAGATTAAACACCCTGGGGCCAAGATCTCCTTTCTCAACACCCTGTGTCAGTCAGTGGAGGAGGCCAGGGCTTGGTCTCCTGAGGTACTCAGGCCACCCCAATCACGCTGGTCCTGCAAAGCACATTACCTGTTTGCAAAGGTACTCAGAGAACTTGCTCAACCCCTCTTCATGTAAGCCCAGCAGAGGGAAGATCTTGAAGAAACGCTCCACCTGTGGCAGATCTCCCTGCTTCATAGCTAGGTCAAATTTCTCAGTTACAATAGTCTTCAAACGCTGCTCTGCCTCCTGCAGGAGCTTCAGGTTGGCATCAATTATGCTGCCTGTTCCCAAGTGAGACAAGATACAGAAATCATAGTAGCATAGTGCTTAGGGTCAGAAGGAATGTAAACAGATCAGGTCTGACCCCCCGCCCCAGGCAGGAACGAATACCAGGGTCATTTCACCCCAGCCAACTATCTGTCCAGCCTTCTCTTGAAGACCCCCAAGGTAGAAGAGAGTACCACCTCACTTGGGAGCCCATTCCAGAGCCTGGCAGCCCTAACTGTAAAGTTATGTCTCCTGATGTCCAGCCTGAACCTTCTAACAGTTTGTGGCCATTATTCCTAGTAATCCCAAGTCATGCCATGGGGAACAGAGCCTCCCCCAATTCCCACTGGTCCCTCATGGTGAGTTTGTAAATGGCCACCAGATCCCCTCTCAGCCTTCTCTTTTGGAGGCTGAATAGGTTCAGGCCCTTTAGCCTCTCTTCATAGGGCCTGCCCCACTGCCTTTTGACCATGCGAGTGGCCCTCCTCTGGACCTTCTCAATGCTAGCCACATCCCTCATGAAGTGTGGTGCCTAGAACTAGATGCAGTACTCCAACTATGGCCTGACCAATGCCGCATAGACGGGAAGGATCACCTCCCTGGACCTGCTTGTGATGCATCTGTAGATGCACAACAAGGTGCGGTTAGCCTTACTGACCACTTCCTCGCATTGGCAGCTCATGTTCATCCTGGAGTCAACAGTGACTCCAAGATCCCTTTCTGCCACCATGTTGACAAGAAGGGCATTCCCCAGCCTATACGTGTGTTGCTGGTTCCTTCTCCCTAGATGCAGCACCTTGCACTTGTCTGCATTGAATTCCATCCTATTCTCATCCACCCACCTCTGTAATTTATCTAGATCTAGCTGGATTCTATCCCTCCCCTCCAGCATGCCCGCCTCACCCAACAACTTGGTGTCGTCAGCGAATTTGGACAACGTGCATTCCACACCCATATCAAGATCCCTGATAAAGATATTGAACAGTACAAGCCCCAGGGGGCTCCACTGCCCACATCCCTCCAGGTCAAAAATGACCCATCCACCACCACTCTCTGGGTGCGACCATCTAGCCAAGTTGCCGCCCATCTGACTGTGTAGGCATCAGTGCCAGTCATCTAGCTTTTTTTTAAGAGAATGTGGTGGGAAACCGTGTCAAAGGCCTTCTTAAAGTCCAGGAAGACAACATCCACCCTAACACCCTCATCCAGGGACTTTGTGACCTGATCATAAAAAGAAACCAGGTTAGTCAGGCAGGACCTGCCCTCAATGAACTCATGTTGGTTGGCCCTGAGCATTACCTCCCCTGCTGGGCCCTTGCAGATGTGCTCCTTGATAATTTTCTCAAAGGTCTTCCCTAGGACAGAGATAAGACTGACTGGCCTATAATTGCCATGATCCTCCTTTTTCCCTTTCTCATAAATGGGGACCATAGTGGCCCTTTTCCAATCCTCTGGTACCTGGCCACTCCCCACAAGCGCTCATAGAGCCATACCAGGGGCCCCACTATGACCCCCACCAATTCCATCAGCACCCTCAGGTGAAGATCTGGACCTACTGATTTAAACATGTCCAGCCCCTCCAAAAATTCCTTAACTAGGTCATCCCTGACCCTAGGCATGGCGATGCCTCCCCTGGGTCCGTCCGCAATTTTTATTTATTTTATTTGGGGGAGGGGGGCGGGCAGAAAGATGATGGCCCCTTGCTTCTACTCTTTGTATGCCTCCTCTTTTGCCCTCAGGCATCGCTGGATGCCTTCGCCGAGCCATGGGGGGTTCTTAGAACTTCTGCCCCCCTTGGTGCGCATTGGGACTGACTCCCCTTGAGCTCAGGATTGTCTCCTTGAGGAATAACCACCTGCCTTGGACTCCCATCTCATTGAAGCTCCGAGACCCCAATGCCTCTCCTACTAACCTTCTTAGCTTATAGAAGTCGGCACTCCTGAAGTCGAGGACCACTACCTTGCTGCTTGCTTTCCCCACCCTGCACTGGATAGTAAATTCCAGCAGGCGATAATCACTGTTGCCCAGGTGGTCGAATACCTGCAGACCCCTCATCAGGTCGCCGCATGTGGCAAGGACCAAGTCTAGAAAGGCATTTCCCCTGGTGGGACTATGCACCTCCTGGGTTAGGCAGAGGTCCTGTATCCCAGCAAGGAACCTACATGAGCAGTCAGACCTGGCTGACTGCTCCTCCCAGCAGATGTCTGGGTAGTTTAGGTCACCCATGACAACCACATCCCTTTACAGCCTCCGTGAGCTGACCTGATAATTCCAGGTCCAGCTCATCCCCCTGGTGAGGTGGTCTGTAGTAGATGCCCACTATCAAGTCCCTTTCCCCATGCTCCCCTTGCATTCTTATCCAGAGTGCCTCGTTTTGCCCCTCCTCTGACTCCATCCTGATCAGTGAGGATGTGTATTGCTCTTTGACATATAGTGCTACACCCCCACCTCTTTTTCCTGCTCTATCTTGGCTGTACAGCCTATATCCCTCCATGTCCACTGCCCAGTCATGGGTAGAATCCCACCAGGTTTCCGTGAGCCCCACTAGGTCTGGGTTTTTGCTAGCTAGCAGGAGGGTGAGTTCCTCCTGCTTTTTCCCCATGCTTCGAGCATTTGTGTAGAGGCATTTGAGGCCTCCTGTAGGTGCTGGGACTGAGAACACCAACTGCCCTGGTCTCATGGCAGAATATGTACAGTTCCAAAACAGCAGTTAGGAAGTCAAAGCCAAAGAGGGGGAAGGCACTCAACTCATTTTTTTGATCCCCAAATGCCTCCCAGAACCTGAAATCTAAAGGCTATAAGGGAGTAGGCGTATACATTATGCATACAAACATACTTCCAACTCAGAAGGTATCACACTAAGATTATTAGAACCCCCTACCCAAAAGTCTTAAATCTTAAAAGAGTTGCCAAGCTCTTGCGAATACATGTAATTAGTTCCTTCAGCTCTTAGCTACTGGCCCATGCTCTAGTATCCACCCTGAAGGGGCATTCCGCACGCTCCACTGATACTCCAATGGAACCCAATGGTGTGCCTAATCTCTGGGACAAGAAGTCTGCTGTCAATTGAAAGACCCGCTATGTTTCACTGCTAGTTAAAATTCACCAGACTCCTCAAGAAGTCACCTGCTCCAATCCAGTGACCACTCTGTGTGTCTAAAAGTATGAAAAAAAAAGATGCCTGTCCAATACCAATATTGGCGCAAAGATGCACCAATACCACTACGTAGCAAACAGAAGCTGAGGTAGTTGTATTATTAAGTAACACTCTCTGCCAACCAGAGCTCAAGCATGATGCTATACAGCAGTGGCTCCCAACCTTTTTAGACCATGGACCAGAAGGGACCGTGGACCAGCATACTGCAGACCGGAAATGACTGGCTGCTGGTCTGCAGCATGCTGGTCACTTCCAGACTGGCAGCCAACCCTTCACAACCTGGTACTGGCCCACGGCCCAGGGGTTTGGAACCTCGGCTATACAGAAAGAGCCCTATTGATTTAATGCTCAACAAGACATTTTCCCAGATGAGTAGGAGACCAACACATTCATTTCTGTCCTGTACTAGATTCAATTTATAAACAAAATAAGAACATAAACACTGTGGAGTCTTGAGCCCTTCTGATTTGCAGTGTCACATCTGAAAGGTTTTTATTACCAAGAACTGCACAGGAGAGCTTCAGCATTTCTGCTGCTCAGTCCTTTCTCCAACCATCCATGTTACAAAGCTAACCTTACTCTGACATATTTTGCTGCTGATATTCAGAACCGTGGGAGAAGCAGGAACTCTGATGAAAATCATCTTATTCTGATGGTTCTTGGGGAAAGAACTGGCAGATACTAAGGCTATTCACAACAAAGGGAAGTTAGGATGAAACAGAGTAGTAAAATCATGCCTCCATTCCAGGAGCAAGGTACCAGAGTGCTATAAAAGCAGACATTCACAATATTGTTCCATTTATAAAACTCAGCCTTTATTTGGTTCCAAATGAACCATAAAAAAATCACACTACTTTAGGGTATGGTATGGAAAAACACATACTTGTCATGACTTCAAAAGTGGGGGGGAGGGGGGAGTGGCAGGAAAGGTTATGCTTTAACTGTATCACTACAGGCTCATGCACATAAGTGCAGCAAAAACACTCCAATTTTAAACTTGCTTCATTCCAGGGATGAAGCTAGGATGGTTAGCTCCTCACAAAAGTATTCACCCAGACGTTTCCACATAAAACCATAACCTGACATGGCTGCCAAACTCATTTAGTAATAATATCCTCTCTTAACACACTCTTTGGATCCAAGTTATCTCGTCCTGTTATGTGTCATAACCTCTAAAAGCAAGAGCCCTCAATTTACCTGACTAAACAGCCACACCCCCCATACCAATGCAAGGATATTACCTACCCTCCTTGCCTTGTCGACTGAGCTCAATGACCGACTTGTCCAGAGACAAGTAGCGGTGAATATGAGCTGCTGCTTGCTCATAATCTTCATTTCGCAGAGCTGTCTGAACCCCATCCATGCAGAACTTCAGGTCCAAGATGTCATCAGCTCTCTGGATGGCCTGATAGAGGCGGTTCTGCAAGAATAGCAGTTGAGATTTCCTTCACCTAGCTGGACTAGAAAAGAGAGCTATACAGAAAAGACAATATAGCCAAAGGGAAAGAAAGATGTGAGCCATGGAGTGAGGGGTTACGATCACCTTGTCCCAGACAGGACTCTAAGGTCAGCAGGGTGCTAGGTGAGCAACTTGGCCTCCCTAGGTAGCTGATGACTTGAAAAATCATGAGAATCCCAAAATTAGGTTGGAACTCAGGGGTACAGCATATAGAACCAGACTATAGGTCTCGCCTTTATTAGGAAAGAATAGCCTACAGAAATCACAGGGGCTACTCTGCACACTGAAATCTGCAGTCTCTAGTATTACAGAGCTCCCAATCTGTCTAGTTACCTTGGCAAGATCAAGCTGTCGGACTTTGCTGCTGACATTCTCAGCCAGATTCCAGGTGAAAGTGATCATTCCAGCCAACTGCCTGGCATCCCCCTCAATCAGTTGCAGGTTGGGGCTGGAAACACATGCAGATAACAGGTGATACACAAGAAAAGCACATCTGAAGCAGCAAGGCATTATACATAATCCCCCATTTTGTGCCTGCCAGCACCAGTCTTTCAACTCATGCCACTATCATGTTCTTTGACAGGAGATAAAAGCCAGATCCAAGAGTCTTATCTGGAAGATAGCAGCACCACAGGTCCTATCTACCTAACATCCCTCTTACTAGCAATGAAGAGGTGAAAGGAACTACAGTAAAAGCTTTGTTACCCGGCATCCCCCAGAAATGGGGGATGTGGGTTAATCAAATATTCCAGTTAATCACATGCGCACCGTCTGGTGCACTCCCTAGCATCAGTGTGCTGGGGGACAGGGAGGGGGGCCCCTGTGCAGGCTGCTTTGCCCTGGGCCGTGCGCCGAAAAAGTGGTGAAGAAAAACTCAGCTCGAAGCAGTGAAACAGGAAGTCCCCCAGAAGTGGTACTTCCGGTTTCGCTTTTGCCGTGTCCCTTGGATGCCAGTTAATAGAGTTTTCGGGCTAATAAAGTGCCGGTTAACACAGCTTTTGCTGTAGATGTATAAGTTTGTCCTTTTTTAGGGCAGGAAGTGTCATTTTGTGCTCTAGAAACCAAACTTTTATTAAATACAAGGCTCCAAGCCTTATGATTGTAGAAATAACCTAAGCATTGAACTCTGCAAATAGATTCATTTGTATATGTCCAAATCTACAGACAACCCAAAACAACATATTTGAAGGGGCGCATTGTTCACATTCAGATAAATGAGATGTTAGTGCTAAAGCCTAATACTAACAATACTCACTGGGAATGACAGCTCATTTCTGACATCGTAGGAGAGCTGCAAGTATCCTTACCTTCATGTATCACAGTGACTCAAAGAAAAGATTATTCTATGGCATGTTTCATGTCAAAGCACTCTTTAAAGGGAAACTGATTTACTCAGTAGTGAAAAAAAATACACCTGCATTTCTGGTAGAATGAAGCAGCTGTTGAACAATATATGGTAACAGCATATAAGAATTTAAAACTAGAAGGAAAAAATACATATGCATTTGAATCTAGGCCTTTTTCCCCCAAGCAACCCCCGCAAAATACAAAAAAACTGAAGAAAAATAAAAAGCAGGTTATTGTCACTGAAGGACTGATGTGTTTACTAACCCCATGCGATGAAGAGCAACCATCTTGTTCTCTATGGTACCCTGTTGTTCCAAGAGGGCCTCCAGCTCTTCCTCCACCACTTTCTGAAAAACAAAGTAGTTCTATGTCACTTTATGACACTTTCTGGCCAATCACTAATGTCACTACCTTAGAAGCAAACCCTCAACATCAGTGCAGGAGTACACACCAAAGAGGGCTTCTGAAAACTCAACTAATAACACAGTCTGTCAAAAGCCCCAGTGTTCCATCTTAATCTGGTTACATTTACACTCCAGTCTAATTTCAAGGGTCAGTTTTGAAACCTCTATCATAAAATGTTGAAAGAAATCCATTCCTATATTGCCTCTCCACATCAAAGATGTTCCTGACTTAACTGTTTATAAAAAAAGATCAGAGTACAATAGTATGCTCCAAAGTTAAGAAAAATGAGAATGTTGCACAGGCAGGACAGTCAGTCTGTCAAGGCTGAGGGCAGGAAGCCTGTAAAACCCTGTAGCAATCTTTTATGGCCAGCTAATGAAGCTCTAGCAGAGATATCTAACTTTTCTTGTTAGACGCTTTGCCATTATGACACAGGGAAGCGGAGGAGAGGGGTGCTCCACCTTTTGGCCCCCCAGGCCAGATGAGTGACCCCACCACCATGCTCTACATGCTGGGACTGGGTCCTGGGGGACCAGTGCTGCCCCCTTTCACCTCCTGCACACTGGGATCGAGTCCCAGCGGGCTGGCACAACCCCCTGCATGCCAGGATTGGGTCCTGGGAGCCCAGCACTGTCCCCTCTCACCCCCATGAGCCAGGATAGGGTCCTGTTGGCCCAGCACCACCCTGTCCAAGCCCCCCACAACAGGATTAGACCCCGAAACTGGCACACCCTCTGGCCTGCTCTGTGTGCTCAGATCAGGCACTGGATCCAGCACGCAGGGCCTGGGGCTCTTTGTGGCTGCAGAAATATGGCTGCAGGGGAGCGGTACCAGCATTCCCCTATCACCAAGTTTCCAGACCTTTGGGGAGGCCCAGAGACCAAATGACATAGTGCCATGGGCCACAACTGGCCCACAGGCTGGAGATTGAGCACTTTTGCTTTACATTATCTCACCAAGTTATATCCAAATACTTTTTTGAACCAGGAAATGGATGGAACTGTGGTCCTTCCTATATTCTAACACACAAGAACAGTCCTGGTAAGTTGTTTTACTTCAGTTTGTTTTCACAAGCAAAACAGAAGGTCTTGTTTTCGCAGGAGGACAAAACTGGATTTGCACTGAGTGAGGCATCAGCTTGCTAGTTTGCACTGAAAAACCATAAATGTGGTGTGGGACTCTTTCTGAAGTCTCTTCTTTCCCCTGTATGTTGGGTTTTTCTTTCCTCCAAAATTTTCATTCCAAGAGTTGTTTGCACACAAGGCTTAATGGCAAGTAACAGCAATTAATTTAAATTAACCCTGGCTGATCCAAGAGTGGAAACAGATGCCATCTGATTTCTCATTTGTATCACCTTCAAATTTTTTTAAGGCAGTATAAATGCAGAATAGATATCCTTGCCCTTTTTGCACCACCTGATAAGAGAATCAGTGGCACAACAAAAGATAGTAACAGACTCTGATGCTTCATTGCAGTGGGCACCTCTTAACCTGTGGCACTTACCTTTTTGGGGGCTGACTGGCAAGGGAAAACCTCTCCTTTCCCCACTGCCCCAGACCTGCACTGTGGGTTTAGGGCAGGAGGCAAAAGTGCTTCCTTGTACAACCAGACCCTGCAGCTAACTGAGCAGGGAAAGCACCCAGCTTTCCCTGGTGCTCCAGATAGCCAGCCCCAGTGGGCCCTTCAGAGCCATCTGGACAGGGGAAGACCTGGCACTGCTGCTACTCCGGACTCACGCTGAGCAACACAACACGTATTTTGCCCAAATCACTCCACTCCGCCACTTCTAATTCCAGCCCAAGGCAAGGCGTTAATTTGGATGCGTCCCCCCCAGCCCAGAGCAGCGAGACGGCGCGAGCCGGCCCAGCCCCACCTCCTCTGCGCACAGGCGGCCGTAGGCGGTCTCCAGCTCCCGCAGGTCGGTGAGCGCCCGGATCCGCTCCATAGACAAGCACGAGCTGCTGCCGTCCGCGCCTGGCGTCCTCGGAGCCACGCCAGCAGCCGCAGCCATCTCGGGCCAGGGACGTCACTTCCGGGAAATCAAAAGCCCCAGCGGGGTCTGAGCGGCCGCTGGGGCTGCCCTCAAGGTGCCTGATCAGGGACTCGTGGCCCTCTCATGTTTGGCTTGGCCAAGCGAGTGTCCCCAGGCAGGAGCGCATGCGGCGGAGTCAGAGCCGGGCGGACGATACTCACGGGGTCCTTTCATCGGTGAGGTCAGGCGATGCGAGGGCAGCTGCGCGTCGCTCGCGTCGGCTGAGGAAGGCCCCGGCGGGGGGCGGGGCGGCAGAGAGCGCGCGCAGGGCTCATGGCGCAGCGGCTCCGCGGGCTCGCGGCCTAGGGAAAACGGGCGGCCGCCATCTGTCTCCATCCGACCGGTAGGAGCCGCCGTTGCCGTCGTCTCGCGCTGGGGCAGGCAGCGCGCGCTGGGCCGGGCTCAGCCTCAGCACTATTTCCTCCCCCGCCGGCGGCAGCGAAGGCTGCGCCGCGGCCTGGGCGGGAAGAGGCGGCGGGGTTGCCTTCTCCGGCCTGGCGGCCCCCGGGCACCCTAACTGCGCCCCGCTGAGACTGCCCCAACCCCGCCCCGCCTCGCCTCTGCGCCCTTCTTGCGGCTCCGGGACTCTCCCCCGCGTGCGGGTCGCGGCCTCCACGTGCCCCGGCGCCGCGTTCCCAGGGAGGAGGTGCGCGGCTTAGAGACTTGTTCCAAGGCCGGCTCGCCTGTTCCCACGTAGGATGTCAGGGGTGCAGTTGCCTGGGCAGTTTCTGGGGGCCGTTGTCACTGTCGTACCAGTCTCTGGGGGAAGCATCTGCTTGGGCAGGGAGGTTTCACTGCTTGTGGGGAAGTGGGGCTGAGGGCTCGTGGGGGTGGAACATGCCCAGGGCAGCCTAGAAATGTTTCTCCACTTTTTCCATATAATTCTATTAAGGGTAGTGTGTGTGACAGTCATAGACAACGGACCTGCAGACAGAAGTGGACCTGCTTTATTTGTTTGGTGTTGTCATCTTCATTCCTCAGCTTCAGAGCATGTCTTTCACGCAGGATTTCCCTGATTTCATTGTTTAATTGCCAGCCACACCTTTTATTGCACTGCTTCAGGCTCTGAAGGGGAGGCAGGATGAAGTACTGCAAGCTATGGTTTGCAGTGGTGTAACTTCCTCCCGTTTTAATTAAGCAAACTTCACTAATGAGCACAGCAGTTTGCCTGTTCATGGAGGAGGAGGTTGTGCTGTACTGCTGGCTCTGTCCTGGGTTGTAATCTATAACTCATTGCTCTTGTACAGGCAAAGCCATTAAAATTGATGAGACTAAAAGTGAAACCTTGCTTTATTATTTCTTCCTGTCAGCTCTTTCAGATAAATTACTGCAAAGCAAGAGCTCACTTTGCCACTAACCTCATGGGTTATACCCTCACAAGTAGGGCTAAATGGAATTAAAGTGAACAGGGATCCAGGATTGATAAAGCGTTGTAATGCTGTTTGGAAGACCATAGCAGCAGACCATAACCTATGCAGTATGGGCTTGTTGCGCACATTTATTTGCCTGCAAAACCTGATACATTGACTCTATCGTAAAAGTGAAATGAAAATTGCATCTACACAAAAAATGACTTTAAGCATGTACTTCTATGTTAAATAAGGACATTTAGCATGAACCCTTTTATATGGATATAAGGGATGGAAATATGTAAAGCTGACATGCATTGTTCATTTACAAATGAATTATACCAATTTTCAGAAACATTGTAAGACATTATTCATGCAGACTTAGCGGACAAAATTAAGCTGCTGGGACTTTTCTGTTATAGTAAAATAATGTGCAAGTAAGCATTAAATAGATGCAACCTATTTTGCAATTGGATATATTCCTGATTTATAGCTATTTTGTTTATTTGCAGTGGACTCCATAACAAAGCTGAAACATACACAGTGAAGTAGATTTATCGCCACCATGTTTCTTTACAACTTAACCTTGCAGCGAGCCACTGGCATCAGCTATGCCATCCATGGTAACTTTTCAGGTAACCTCTGTTGTTCTGACTTTGTCTTTTTGTTACAAGTTACTAAAATGTAGCATTATTTTTTCACTGTGGTTTTGCTCTTCTGTTAGCTGGGTTGAGCAACAGGTGCAAATGGAGGAGAGATCTGGTCTTGAGAACTTCCAGGAACTTTAGTATTTCAAGGCCTTGTCTTCACTGACGTGGGTGGCTTTAGTTAAGTCACTTTGCTCTTTGTGCCTCCGTGTTCCTGTCTAAAATAGACAGCCAAACACTGAAATATCTGGTCATTAACGATTCTAAGTGGCTTTGACTTTCTCCTGTATAAAGTATCAGGTTTGCAACAGTATTAGCATTGTAACATTGTGTCTTGTCCTTGCTTGAGTCTTCCTCTTGCTTATGTTGATTATTGATTTTTCTCATGGCTTTGGCTTCTTAGGAACAAAACAGCAGGAAATTGTTGTTTCACGGGGGAAGATCCTGGAATTGCTCCGCCCTGATCCTAATACAGGGAAGGTTCATACCTTGCTGACTGTGGAAGTATTTGGAGTCATTCGTTCCCTCATGGCCTTCAGGCTGACAGGTGGAACCAAAGACTACATTGTGGTTGGCAGTGATTCAGGGCGCATTGTTATCCTAGAATACCAACCCTCCAAGAATGTGTTTGAAAAGATTCATCAGGAAACCTTTGGCAAGAGTGGCTGTCGCAGAATTGTTCCTGGTCAATACTTAGCTGTGGATCCCAAGGGTCGTGCTGTTATGATTAGTAAGTCGATCTGGTTGCAGCACTTTAAAGGATTGAATGGTGGAAACAACATCCTTGAAATTATTAACTTGTGTTGTTCTTACCTCAAGGAAAATAGCTTTTGCAGCACACTTTGTCAGCTGCAGCAGCAAGTATGCCTTGCAGGCAGTTTTCTTTATTTCCAAATTTTGCCATCAAAGATCCAGATCTTGGGAATTGTTCCTGCCTGTAACCATGATTGCACAAATGAATTCTGAAATTAGGCCAACAAGATTTTGAGAAGAAATCTTGTTTAGGGACAAATAGTAAAACTATTTTGAGGGTGACATTTGGAAAAAGGAAGTTAAGATGCAGGCAGCCTTGCCATAGTGCAACCAATTTCAGTGGTCTGAGGTGATGATAAGAATTCATGTCTCTTCTCTGAGACTAACCATGGAGAAAATTCTGTGCCTTTCTGATCAGGCCTCCAAAGTATAAGCATTTAGATTCATTGAAATGGTAAGATATTACATTGAGAGAGAACTTTGCTGCTTTCTTTTAATTGAAAGAATTGCATATCAGATTGAAAGGAAAATGCTTGTGTTCATTTAATTAAATAGTTCAGCTGCAACCCAAGTTGATGGTCCAGGGAGGACTTGCTCAGTATTTCCATGCATATACTGCATATCAGTCAAGAAATGTCTATAGGTTTATGGGGTATGTATGAAATGGCTCCCTTTGTTTTATATGGTACCTTTCCTCCACACCATGGTTGGCCATCTCTGGCTGCATCTTTTGTCAAGAATTTGGGTTCCTCTACCTTATCTTATTGGTGGAGTAGTTTGTCCTGTGTCTGGGACAGAAGTGCCTTGAGTTATGGCTGAGGTGAGAGAGACCTGAAAAGATCATAGATTTAGTCAGCATATTCCTCAGCTACCAATTCATGTATGAAAAATTTAAATTATGAAAAGTTAGGGAGTTCAACATAAACAAAAGCACGTCTGGACAGGACCAGAAGTGATGTAGTTCAGAAAAGTTTGCTGCATCAGTGCTGGTGCTATTGTCTTTTGCCTTGCATAGGCTCTGATGCGTTCTATGTACTGGTGCCTCTCCCTGCAGGTGCCATTGAGAAACAGAAACTGGTGTATATTTTGAACAGAGATGCTGCTGCCCGTCTCACCATTTCTTCCCCACTGGAGGCTCACAAAGCCAACACATTGGTTTACCATGTGGTGGGAGTCGATGTAGGATTTGAAAACCCAATGTTTGCTTGTCTGGAAATGGACTATGAGGTAACTTTCCTCTTTCTGCTTCCTCTGAGCTTGTTCACCCTCCTTTCTAGCCTCTCTTTTCAGTGCATTTTTCACAGCATCTTTCCACTCTTGTCTTTGCACTTCATTCTAGTACTGCTTCTTTTGCCTTCCTCTCCCACTTGCTTCCCCTACTCCTGATTCGTGGTTCTCAGATCACATTTCCCTGCAGTTTCTTCGCTTATTGATCAACTAAAAACACTTCTGATACAAATGTATTGTTTGTGAACTAGCCAAGGTGAAGCTATGTCTTCTTAAATTTTCAGAGGAAGAATGTGAACAAACAATCTTAAGCAAAGAAAGTTTTGTTGTAGTGATTGTCATTGACTTTGTGGATGTGTAAAATGTGTCCCAGACTATGATCCTTCTCATCCAGAAGGATGAGGTCATCCTTGACC